CATGCTACGCTGCATCGATGCAATAATTCAGGAAAAGGGGCCCCAGTCAAGCACATTCTGGGCATACTTTCCAGTGGACTTTTTAAAATCAGCCTTATTAAATTCTTATGAACTCAATCTGGTGTTTTCTTTATCTGTAGGACGTAAACATCAAACCAAATCGCTATACGAATCCATATAATCTATGAGTTTCACTTTCAGAGATGAATTACTGAAATAAATTATATTTTTGGGAATTCTATAAATATCTGTATAGGATTAACTTTATAAGAACATGTAATTTATATCTATCTAATTCATCCCAACAGCAGTCCCTCCCTGCTGTTTATTTGATATAATTTATTCAAGTGGCGAGTGACTTCATTTCATACCTGCACAGTAAATAGTTACTGCCTCATGCTCACACATATTTGGACTACAACTGCTTATTCTTAAATAGACATTACACACCACTTACTTGGAAAAACAGGAAATTGAATCAAGCAGTGACATCATTCGCGAGCGCCTCTGCTGGCCTTTGATATGGGCTTCACTCGTTAGCCTTGATTTTTTTTTTTCTTCCAATCATCCCCCTCGCATATCCACTTTTATTTTTATTACAAAGAAACGCCCGTCCGCGATGACATTAGAAGGTGAGTGTGCAGAATGAGACAAAGCGGACACATTTATGGTGAATGCTGCGTTTGTTGCCATCTTAGCTGTGAGTCAGGCTCTTGTAGCTATGCTAGCCATGTAGCTAACTAGCCTCCTCCTCGATGTTTCCAGATAATAAATAGTTGTATTAATAGAATGAACCGATATTAGAAAATGCACGCATTAGAAACACGTTGAATGTTTATTGTTGGAGGAATAATTGTCACCGTGCCAGCTCTAATATTTAAAGAGGAAACTATGTATATCCAGGTAGCTAGCTAACTTTAGCCAAGTGAGCCAGGAGGCTAACGATTAAAACTGACTTTGATATGAAAGTTAAACAAACACAAAACTTTGGCGTTAGTATTGATTCCTGTCTTCTTAGTGTTTTTTCCTTTTAGATGAGAAGTTTTCGATTTTCTATTAAGAAAAATCAAGAATATGGTTATAGATAAATAAAAGTTACTAAATTAACAACTGATTCTAACCATTGATCAACACACCTATTTTAAATGCTTCTCTCTGTTTAAATGTGATTTTACTTTTATCGAAGCTGACAAAGAGCAGAGCGATTCAATGACCACAGACCCCCCCTGGAAGAAGGCAACGCTTGAAATGATTCACGTTATAAATAGCTCCGAGTCTCTGGTGTATTTCTGGAGTCTTTTCTGAAGATGCCTTCATTTGTTTGATTTTTAGCATTTAAGTAAATTTAGTTGTAATTTAAGTTCTTTGGCTGTTGTACGTGTTTGACTTTGATGCCTCTATGGTTGTAATGTTTTTCTAATATGCAGGTTTTCTGCAGCCTCACAGAAAGTCTAAATTGTAGGCCTTTATAAAGTTTTGAATGTGTTCATTTACATGCATGGTAGTTTTTAAGGGATCGTCGGATTTGGCCATGCGATGGACTGGCGAGCTGCATTTTGAGCAAGTTTTAGCTTCGAAATCATCAATAACTGTGATGAAATTTACTCTCTACCGTGTAAATGGTTTGTAAAAACGTCTAGAAGAACAATCATGTAAGTAGTTATGCCCTCCTTAATTTATGTAGATCCTAAAATTAAATCCCAATGGTAATTTATTAAAGTCCAAAATTAAATTTAATAAAGACTACAGAAATCTGAAAATGGTTGTCCCTGTCACCAGGTCAGTGAGTTTTCTCGTATTTATTTCAGTCCTTGTTTCTTTTCTTGCTTTGAGTCTCATACTGACCCCAAAGCCTTTACATAATTATTTAGTTGTTTTTTTAGGCTTAAGGAAATTTGCAATTCTTTTTATGTAAATTAAGTCACAAGGACCTGTGTAGGCCTGTAATGGTAACAAAGTTTGCTTCAAGATAAATTGCCTCAGAAGTTATTACGATAAACGATAATATTGGCTTGAGAACTTTTTCAAATAATACAATGGCATTACAATGCAGGTTCACACTCCTTAAAGATCAATAGACTTTAAATTCTAACGAACATTTAACACTGGAACTGGAAGGCGTTTTAAATATCAAAAATGAATAAACAAAGCAACAGAAAACAACAAATGAAATTAATTTTAAAGTCTCTGTGAACAAAATTGTCCTTCAGAAATGGCCTAGTTGAGACCAAAGAACCAGACTGAAGACTTTTGTCATCTGGGATTTGGTAGAAAGAGAAAAATTTTAATTTATGCAATTAGAAATTACTAAGTTTGCTTGAATGTGGCATGCTGTTAATTGATTTATTGCTTATTATATTGTGACAGGCCTCGACCTGTGAGTTTATTGATGAGTTTTGAGAAATTGGATTAATGGGATTTAAAAGTTATTTGATCTGCACCATCCAAGCTTTTGATTGCATGCATTTTTTTTTTATCTACAAACTTTTTCAGAGAAGTGCAGTTATACTTTTTTAGACACAACTTACAGAGCGATATGTCTACTGTTAAAAAAAGCAGTTCTCTGTTTCTCCTTTTAGGTTGAGTTACAACTTAGACTTACAGATCCTGTGTGTGTGTGTGTGTGTGTGTCTTTCTAGGTGAACTGGCAGACAGGGTCAGCCAGGTGATTTCAGAACTGGTTGCGGTGCGGCCTGGCTCGCTTGCAGGTTTCAGTTCCTGTGCCGTGCAGTAAAGCAACTTGGTTGGTCAAAGGATTGCAATGAAACCAGCTCAGGAGCGCAACCAGGAGAGCCTGCCTCCTAAGAAGAGGGACCTCCCTCTCAGCAACAGCGGCGTCGGTGTCGGAGGGGCGGCTGGGGGCGGAGCTACGGGAGGCGGTGGCAGCACTGCTGGAGGAGGTAACGGAGAAGCCGAAGTTGTTTCCATCCACAACTCTGCAGCTGGCAGTGAGACTCAGGGAGGGAACCCATCAGGAGAGTGGCCGCGAACTCATCCGGAGCATCACTATGGGGTGGATAATTCAGAGAGCATCTCAGCGGGGCCTGTCGATCAGTACAGTATGATCTACAAAGTGGCTGTTCCTTCTGTTACCTACTCGCAAACTAGCCTCCACCCAGTGTTAAGCCACATCTCGCCCACGTACACTGTACACTCTCCTCTCCTGCAGCATCCAGGCCTTCCCTATCCTCCCCTGGGTTACGCTCACATCCCTCATCCATCTCTCCAGTTTGTCAGCTCCCCATACGCCGCTGTTCCTTACGCCGTCCCGTCCGGCTTCGTCCCTGGATCGCTGATTTCTCCGTCAGGTGCCATTCCTCAGCCTCACGCCGTGTCCCACCTGGTTCCCTATCCATCCGTCATACAGGACGGAGTGGTTTCCCCGCCTCCCCAGGCCCAGGCTCATACGTTTACCAAAGTTGCAGCGCCAGGCGGCGTTCCGCTGATGATGCCTTCAGAGCAAGCCGCCCAGCAGCACATCGGTACTATCGGAGTCATACCTGCCCCAGAGATCAGCTCCAGAGGGATGCCGGTCTTCTACCAGCCCCAGGGCAGCCGGGGCGGTGACCTGCACAACGAAGCGGAGCTTAACGGCGGCGATAAAGAGCAGGGAGTCAGGGAGGTCCTGCATGACTCTGCCTACACTTCCAGAAATGCACATCTGCAGCAGGTAGCGTCCAGCTCTGCAGCGCAGGACCACAGCCAAGAAAGGGCCCTGCAGAACCGACGCCTGGAAGGCCGAAGCTCTCCTGGTCAGCGCAGCACTCCGGACAGCGATCTGGAGGTAAGGCATGCTCACAGCTCAGTAATGGAGCCTAAAAATTAGAACTGACACTAAATGTCCACCATGTTGTTGCATTTATGAGATGATATTGATTGGAATTAATGCAAATTTTCCATCTTGCCATATCAGGGTGTCTGCTATACTTAAAATGCATTAAATTTGTTTAAAAAAATGTAAGTTGGCCATTAATGTCATTCACAGGTTGTAAAATTAATCGTAGTAGGATTGTTTTTTTTTTTGTTTGTTTGTTTGTTTGTTTTCTTGTTATAAAGTGTGGTGCTGGAAAGATTTGAAAACTTAACTTGAAAATGCTTGAATTCCACTGAGGGAAAAGAGTACGAAGCCTGTAAAAAGCTTTGTGAATTTATTTCAAAGGGCAACTTTAAACATTTAAACGTTTGTTGCAATGAAACTCAAAATGCTCCCACATTGAGTCCTCGGTTTGCCTCCCAGGTGCAGCAGGTCGTTGGCCGCCTGGCTACCTCGAGTCAAGGTGTCGGCGGGGTGCGGAAGGAGGTCTCGTTTGCCCCCTTGAATCTCTCTCAGGGGGTCCAAAGAACCAGAGACGTCCACGGGGAGAGCCCGGCTGTCTCCAGCAGGGCTGTGCATTCGGCGCAGCCGCTGAGTTACGTTGAACACAAAGTCGGCGGTCTCCAGCAGCAGCCGGGTCACGCCGTCATGCTGACCAACGGGCAGCCGGTGCTCGTTCCTCTCGACTATCACCTGCAGCATCAGTCCCAGCCGCAGCAACACTACCCAGGACAGGCGAGCGACGCCGCAAAGGCCTCCATTAACCCAAGCTTTAAAACCTCTGAGTCTCCAGGCAGAGCCGGCCTCCCTGAGAAGGTGGAGCCGACCACAGCTAAGCAGCAGCAGCATCATCATCATCAGCAGCAGCAGCAGCCGCAGCCTTCTCTACAGCCATCAGTCCACTCTGCAGCAGAGCTAACTCAGGCTTCGGGTGTCCCGGCGGCGGTGGCGGCGGCGCCTGGCAGTAACCCGTCACATTTCATGAAGGGGGCGATTATCCAGCTGGCCACCGGGGAGCTGAAGCGTGTGGAGGATCTGCAAACTCAGGATTTTGTGCGAAGCGCAGAGGTCAGCGGAGGGCTCAAGATCGACTCCAGCATGGTGATGGACATCCGGTCCAGCCAGCAGAGACCGGGTCTGGTGTCTCTGCATTTCACGGTGGGGGAGCAGCAGAGCAAGGTGACCATCGACGTCCCGCCAGAGCACCCGTTCTTCGTGTTCGGCCAGGGCTGGTCGTCGTGCAGCCCCGAGCGCACGGCCCAGCTGTACGGCCTGACCTGCCACCTCCTGCAGGTGGGGGACATGTGCGTGTCCATCACGCTGCAGCAGCAGCAGCTTCAGCCGCAGCTGCAGAAGCAACCGCAGCATCACAACTCACAGCAGCAGCAGAACGTGTCGAGAACTTTAGGCAAAAGCAGCGCGGCGTCGGGACCTGGTCACCAGCTCATGGGGCCTCCCGCACCCCAACAGCTGCGGCCGCAGGCTCACTTCAGGATGGATCGCGTCCACAGAGAGCGGCAGCAGCGGGACGGCGAGGGCGGCGTGCTGGAAAAGGATGAAGCACATTTAGCGGTTGTTGGACACACTGAATCCCCCGTCCGGCGAAGTCGGACCTCCACGGAGCATCCCAGGAGTCAGAGCAGCTACCACTTGCACACAGAGGGCTCTGCTTTCGCCGGGACCGGCATGACCGCCATGCAGGCCGCGCTCGGCGCCTCTCAGAGGCGCTGGTCGTCGCCCGGCCTCCAAAGATACAGCATGAAGGGAGACGAAGGGCAACGCCCTCAGATAATCGCCTCTGGCCACACGAGGCCTTCTTTCATCCCGCAGGAGGTGAAACTGTCCATCGAGGGGCGCTCTAACGCAGGGAAGTAGCATCACATTTGGTAGCAACCGTAGGAGAGACTGCCAGGAGCGAGAACGAGTCTGACAAGGAGAGAAAGAGGAAAAAAACAGTGTGAATGTAGCCTCAGAATGTTTGAGATTTTGCACACCTAAAAGTATACAAAGACACATGATTTTGTTGATCTTCTTGAGAAGTTTTGCTTCGATGTTACTCAGCCACGAAAAACAGAAACCTTCGGTTTCCCAGCCTGCTGAGGTCTGACAGGAAAATGGAAAGCTAAGTAGAACGTATGTAGCTTATAAACGCCTGCCATAGTCCTTACACACTGCTTTTCTCTTCCTCGCTCCCTCCTTCGTCTCCACCTCCTTGTACCCACGCCTGGACGTTTTCACAAATAAACACTTTGGCTTTACCTTCCTACTAAAACTCTCAATGGGAAACACAACAGTGTGTGCAGCCTCAAAGCACAGCTACCAACTCTGATGTTAAAAATCACAGCCAGCGATCTTTAGATGTCAACACTCCTAAAAAATTTTTTTATCTCTTTATATCTATATTTATAAAGCATTTACCCCCCCAAAAAAGTGGAGCCACTGACATCAGCAGGGCCTGTGATGTCGTCGATTAAAACCTTCTCTGCTGTCAGCTGGAAATCTCTCTCTCTCGAAGTCATTAATTTTCAGCAAGTCAGTCTCCAAAGATAGATGCAAGATTCTGTTTCAGGCCAAAAACGGCGGCTCTCGCACGTCTTACAATCGAGCAGTTCACCAATCAATTTCCTGTTCCTTGATTTAGCGCCCTTGTGGCAGGAACTGAAACGATGCCTTTCTCCTCTCTGAAACAACAAAGTTTTGCATTCCAGTGCGATTGTGTCATTTAGAGTGTGTTTCTTTTTCCCCGCTTCCCTCTGAACCTCACAGCTTTTCTCGACCAGGTTGGTGAACTTCGGTGCATTTTAATTTAATTACTGCAGGAGGCGCCGGCTGCTTCTCACCAAAGCCTTGAGAGAAACATCCACCTGTTGCATCTTGCAGTTTGCCCTGAAAGGGGAATATGTGAGTGTGAGTGAGGCAGTGTTGAAGCTCGAGTCTGTCTTTTCTCAGTTCCTTTAAAGAAAGCAATAGTTTCTTTTTTTTTTTTTTGTCGTTTTGTTTTTTCCCCCAAGCTTTTGGCTGTCCTGGGAATTTCATTGTCTGGTCCTCTTCCAGAGGTGATGCACCATTTTGATCTATTGTTAATTCAGACAACATTTAAGCTAAATTATTGGCTCATTAATTTTCCAAAATGCATCTTCGGGGGGCTCTAGATTAACAGATTGGTTGTGTATTATTTTCTTATGTCTTCTGTCACCCATTGTGTTCATTCAGTCCATCCTGAGTAGGAATCTGTGCTTTCTTCATGTTTTTATCTCGTTAATTGAAGGGAATTTGTTTGAAGTGTTGTTGGAGTTTTGTGGTAAGCGAAGAAGAAAAGAAACAAACAACTGACTTGTATTTTTTTTTTTTAACTGTTTACAAATTAGCCGAGATGAATGCTGCAGTCTCTTCCTTCTGACGTATTTCTATCTTGAAAAATCAAAAGTGCAATTAGATCATACATAAATTCATCCAGAGGTTTCCAATCAGACGACATTCCTCATGCAGACATTCCCATCGGAAAAGCGACACATTTAATAGTTTCTGGTCCTTTTTATGAAACTTGAATACAGCGCGATCATTCACTTTAAAGCGTTTTCTTTTTGCCTGAAAGCTTTAGGTAATTTTCTCTTGCACACACAGAGCTACTGCTTTTACTAGTCCATATTGGCTGTATGGCTTTTCCTTCTTGACCTTAAACCACTTTAAAGAAGTAGTTGCAGTAAAGCATAATATAGCATGAGGTTCAAGAATGGACAATTTGAACCCTTTTGGTATTAAAAAACTGAATTTTTTTGGATGATACTGAAGTGTAAACCAATTCCTGAATGGATTTCTATACGGAAGGCATTTCCGTACTGCCATGATGGACAGAGAGGGTTTAGTGTTTCCTACCATCCAGCACCCAACACGCGTTTGTCAAAGCGTAAGCAATATTCATTCATCATGAGTCGACAACTTTCTGTAGTCTTGGTGTTTTCTATGCAGTAATCTCAGTACAACGTCCAGGATCGTCTTCAGTGTAGTCAGCTGAAGCAGCAGCAGCGGCTCTGCTTGTTGGATGCAGTCGTTTGAAACGTTTCTTTCGCTGATGTCTGGGTTTAGTATTTTTGACTGACCTACTTTATAGGAATTAAAAGCAGTGTTTTTGGTTTACCTCTTTGTGTTTTCTTGGTGTTGTTGTTTTTTGTGGCCAGCAGTTGTCAGCTCTCTGAATCCCGAGTGAAACCGTTTTCATCTTCCTTCTTTGAAGCCACGCATTTAAAGCCAAATCACGCGAGACGCCCCACTCGGTCCGTTTGTCCGGTGAGGTCACAGTTTAGTGGGGCTTATTGTCTGGTGTAAAGCAGTGCCACTTATGGTTTAAAGCCCCAAGCAAGGCCATCCTGTGCTGACGCTTTCCTCTCTGTTTTCATCCATCGCTTTGAGTGGCCTGTGCCATTTTAAAGATTAATCCTCCATCACTGATGGTCCGTTGTTGTATAAAATTGCACTAAATGTCGTCCTTCAGTGTTCTCAAATGAAATCTGTTGGTAAACTGAAGACTTTCCAATTGTAAAGCACACAAAATCGTGGAGAAATCGCAGGTTTTGTGTTTCTGTAGATAGGTGTATTTGTTTTTTCTTGTGTAGATAGCTTCGATCGGTGACGACGATGATGATGCTTGTTTATAATGCCTTAAATTCAGCTTTGTACAATGTGTCCAAACGAACAACGGACTCCGTGTTCTCCGTTCAGGTTGTACGAGAGCATATCAGAAAGGTCAGGCTTGACGAGCAGAAGCTTACACTCGACGACGAGAGCGAGTTTCGTAGAACTCGTTGCTTCCCGGTTTTTTTTTTTAGTTTTGATTATTATTTTTTTTAATATACCTATCTCTGACTTTTTAATCTGTAGATTTTCAGTATGTGGAAGAGAAAGCGAAAGCTTTCCTCAGCACTTTTTTTACAAGTTGAGTTCCAGAGCGTCAGCCGTGAAGGAGAAATCCTTCCACTTAACACATGCATAGACAGATGCACAGAGCAGATTTTATTATTATTATTGCACAAGATCAGTAGGATTTTAATGGCCAGAATCATCGGGTTGTGAAAGGTCCAGCGCTGCGTCCCCAAGTTTCTGGACAGCAGAGTGGAAAAGTACGAACTACGTCCATCTTTTTATTAAACTGCTAACATGAACTTAGTAAGGTTGTGGTGTTGCTGATGTCAAATCAAATCAGGAGAATGCAAATGGTTAAAAGTTTTAAAGAAGTCTGTATTTTCAGATTTGACATGATTTTTATTTGTATTTCTTTTTTTCCTCTGCACAAGGTGACATTGCTTTTTGTGATGTGAAACTTAAAAACTGAACAGCATTTTCTTTTTCTATTTTCTTTTAAAATGCCTAAATCTGCAAAAATATATGCAATTATGTAAATGTAACATTCAATCCTCAAGTATAATCCAGGTTGTATGAACTTTGTATAGTGAGTTTTAATATTGTATGGTCGTACCAATATGTATTGATCTCTATCAGAAGCCTTAGAGTTGTTGACCCAAAGTGCTCCCTTAGGAAAAAAAAAACCCACACCTACCTGACTTTAAGAAAGCATTAATATCTATTTTGTTGCATTTTTATTTGTACCCTTTTTTTTTTTTTGGAATAAAATAGATTTGTACTGTATATTTGTACCTCTGTGAACTTCTTAGGGTGTTTTTTTTCTTTTCTTTTTCTTTTTTTAACTCGTTTTGCTGTTTTAATTTTACGTGCTTTAAGGACACAAAGATATTGTATTTTTATTGTTACAGCTAACATGGAGACATTGCATTTATCATGTTTAAGTAAACACAATATAATATATATAAATATATATACAAATATAAATAAAATAGATAAACCCAAAATGTTTGCTGTGTGTTTTTGACTCAAGTGCAGTTCCTCGATTTATGAAATTTGTGAAACAAATTAGTTTGGTGAAGTTTGCCGGAGTTTAAACGAGTTAAATCTTGAACAAAATGGCTAAATGTATTAGCTGGCAAGTATTTTTACATTTTCATGCAAACTGGTAAAGACATTTGTGTACTTCTACTATTAAAATGTGTTTTGTTTCTTTTAATTAGGGTGTCCAGATTGCAGCTCGCGGGTCATTTGGGGCCCTCAGGACGTTTTTCCGCAGCTTGCAACTGATTCAAGACAGTTACGGCTGCTACAGAAATGACACTTAAACTTTTTTGTGTACGATTTTAAATGTCAAAATCATAAAATAAAAAATTCTATAGTAGACAAGACCTACAACAACCAGCAACTACTAATATGTCTTCAATTTTTTTTTAAAAGTGTAATATTTCTTCCCAGTTGGCTCAGAAAATGAAACGTTTATTTTATAGAGATTCATTAGAGTAGAATATTTCAAACTTATTTGCTTGCAGTTTTAATTATTGTGGCATATAGATAAAGAAAACCAAAAAGTTGAGCGGCTCAAATAATTGTCTTGAATTTTGGGTTTTCTTCACCTGTAAGCCACAATCAAAAAAAAAAAAGAGAAATGAAGCTTGAAATATTTTACTTTATGTAATGAATCTCTCACTTCCTCAACTTACTGTGATGAAATATTGCACTTTCAAATAATATTTTTTTTTAGCTGTACTTGTATGACTCAAAAGCAGATAATTTTTTCCTCTACTGGTTGAGATCAAACTAAAACGTTTCTCTGTTACATGAGTTAAAAAAAGTAAACCCTCCAGTAACATTGTATGCCTTTAATTTATCAAGGCAAATGTGGGAGATCTTTTTCACATTACTGGTCCTTTATCTGCAAAAGTGACTATTTTGTTGAGCAGCAAAAGAATTGCTTCCTCCACCTACGCACACTTTCAATGTGACAAATTAGGCGTCCTTGGCAAAAAGTTAAATGAAGCATTAAATACGAGTGAAATGGTTTTGAAACTTTTCTACCTAAAATAATAAATCAGAACACATTTTTATTTTTTTTCCAATTCAGATTAACTGACAATTTGTTCATTATGTAATGTAACAACTCGAGGATGTGCTCCTGAGTATGAGTGACTGCCTAAAGAGCAACAGAAGGTAAACACTGGCTTTATATTAAACTTGATGTTTATTTCCACATTCTTTACCAGGTCTCATTATGGTCTGTACATCTTCTGAGTCAGTAACAGAGAGGACGGTGTCCCTGAAGGGCCATCCAGTCAGAATACATCGATATGACAACCAGGCATGTCGTTGCAGTTTAGCTCATTCATTTGGCCTTTTTCAGAAATACAGATTTTGTAAACATGGACATTGAGAGAAAAATCCTGATAGCATTAATATCAAAAGGCTAACATTTAAATTTGTTTTTTTATTAAACTGTTTAAAAAAAAAAAGCAGGCATAAACTAACAGAACACAGGCTCATACTGAACAACTCTAGTACTAGTGCAGTTTCAGGGACATGCAGTGTTAACCTAACCGAAAGTGAGCGAACTTTCGTCCTGCTGCTGGTTCACAGCAGACTGACGGCGTCGCCTCTGAGAATAAATACCCAGCATTCATAGGCTGAGACAAAACCTGAAGCCTTCGCTTTCAGCAGACAACGCCACTATGGGATGGCAGTGAGATCTTGTTGCTTTAATGCGCTGAACTTTGGAAAAATAAAATAAAACCGATGCAACGTATTCTTCCCCAAACGTGAATTAATCTTGACGTTCTGGGCTCTGAACCCTCTCACTGAGTTGAACTGCCTGAGAAAGCGGAGCTTCCGATTCTGAATTTCGGTTGAAACATTTTGAAGTTGCGTTCTGCATAGTTTCTTTGAAAAGTGAAATGTTTTTTTTTTTTTTTTTTTCCTTCAAAAAAAATAAATCTGTTGCATAGAGGTTTGATGCACTCCTAGGAAAGCCAAAAGTCCCGACCCAGATCCGCATCTCACGCTTTCTTCAGGTAGGACGACACTCTTCTAGGAGCGACTCAAACAGAAACACTACTTGGAGAGACTGAAACTGCTCGTTTGACGATGCAAGGTTTTGCATCTGGAGAAATCAAGAGGAGTGGAGGTAACCGTACAGCTGTAAATAACGGCCATGTGAAATATGAAACAGATTATACCAGCAAAATACGGCAAACACTTTTACAGGAAAACAAAAGTATCATGTTGCATAAATATGTGCTGGAATGAGGATCAGTAATATAAAAACACATCCTGGAAATAAACAAGCCTCAGTGCTAACAAAGGGGTGGACTGCATCATACAGGTATATCTCAATAAGCTTGTTATTGAACAATTAATTTATGTCAGGAATTTAAGAATTAGTTATATCAAGCAATTATTTTAATTCATTTGGATAACTGAGACACAAAAGATTGTTAAGAAGCTGATAACAGAGTGCTGTGTTCTAGCACAACCATGGAAAATTAAGTGGAAGGAAAAAATGTGGGAGAAAAAAAATCCATCTGTTATGAATCTAACTCTTGAATTAGATAACTGAGATAAATTAACATTCAAACGACATTTTATTTAGATATACCTGTAAATGATTCTCACCTCTTAACATGACTTTCTTTTCTCTCTCCAGACTTGTGGATATTATTATTTATAAAAAAATATTTAAGTGGTAATAATAACATAAAATACTGCAGACTCACAAAGAATGTGAAATGCTACAGGAATTGCACAAAGCAGGTTAAAATCAAGCATGACTTTCTGTACAACACTGACATGTTTACCAATTAGCATAAAACACAAACGCATCTTCGTAGACAGAATTCAAGTAATGCGACAAAATCTGAGGTCAACAGGTAAGATGTTGGGTTTTCTTTTTCCATGTAATGAGACCAAAATACATAAGAGGTAAATAATGTAATGTACAGTACAACAACAGCAGCAGAGACCGAGTTTTTAAAAAACAATAAATTACACACAGTGTTTAAAAAGACAAAAAAAAAGTAGAAAAATTAAGATAATGACGACAGGAATGCTTTTCAACACCGGGCATGCTCAATAGGGACAAACATTCACAAACGAATGCATGTGTCCTATTAAAAGTGCCATAAAGAGGAATATCAAAACTTAAAAGTGTGGGGAAACGACCTGCGTCTTCTGTAGTATTGTATAGTGTGTGTGTGTAGCTTTGGAAGCTGGGAGCTGGTAAGCCACAGGACAGAGAGCGACCGTCCACGGCGCCGGATGAGGTAGTAGTTTGGACATGAATGTTCCACGGCAGCAGCTAGAAAACAGAGAGAGGCGCAGCTACCGGAGTCTGAGTTACTGGGCTGGGAGGACCAGGGAGGGAGGGTCTGCAGCTACAGGGTCCACACTCCCCTCACTGAGGATCCATGTGCAAATGATTTTTTTTGTTTGTTTTTCAGTTGAAGCAAGAATAAACTGCTCCCACCAGAATGTACTGTTACCTGTGAGAGTCCACCGAAACACAGATAAATCTCTTTACAGCATGCTCTTAGAATAAGAAACATTCTCAACCCTGTCTCCAAGGTTTTTATAGACTGTAATAAATTAGAAATTGAAGAAGTTTGCATGAGTACAGAGGAATTCTGGGAATGGGGGAGAGTGGGACAGGAATGGTTCGCTGTGGTAATAGGAACCTGACGGCGCAGGCTGGAAGGGGGGGGAGTTTTTATAGGACCCCCAGGGATCATGGCAGCTTCAT